CCCTCCTAACAAGAGCCCGTTTAGTTAGCTTCTATATCGGGGTAAACACCTTTGAGCAGTGGGTACTTCCGGTTGATTAGCGGAAGTTGAAGGAATGTTCAAACATAAGAACTATAAGCATATGATGCGTGCTTGCGAACGCGCAGAACTGTTCTTTCCGTTGCTTCTGGAGACAGGGTCCACGCCAGACTGTGCGATGAGTGTTCTGTCTGGCGGTAACCGAGCGGACACGATAATGTATCAAAACCTGGCCAGCATGCTCGACTCACTTAAGGCGTAGGCTGGTGGCTGCCGTGAACAGCCGTTGGGACAAGGTCAAGCGGTGTTGATCCATTATCTGAGCACACGATCTTAGTCCGCTGTCATGAAATGAGGGTCTAGGCGTGACGCAAACCAGCGGGTCACTAAGGCTACGCTAGACAAACAGAATGCCGAGAACTCGTGTCATATGAAGTCAGCGTTCAGTCAATTAGTCAGTGATATTGGAAACAGAACGAGGCCACCGTCCCTGTGGGATTTTGGAACCTCTTTCAGTTCGTAAAATGAGCCAATCAAGTCATGGAGCTTTATGTACCCATCTCGTCTATCAGTTCTCCTAGGACTCCTATTATGGAGGGTAGTTAGTAGTTCGGGGCTGGAAGTGTGGCATGAAAACTGGGCGACTAAATTGACAAGGGAATTCGACAGGTTCAGTCTTTCAGGTGATTTTTTTCTTGTCGATTTAAGGAAAAAAGAACTGTCAGGGTAACTGGACACTTCTGAATCAGTCTTACGTTCGTACAGGATGGTTGAAAACAAAACACCAAATTGGAATACGAGTGAATTATCTGATGGTAATCAATTGCCTCTAATATCCACTGAAGTAGTAACTGTAGAAAGTAGAAAAAAACGTGTCCAGACAGAAGAAGTGCGTGCCGTCTTAGAGATATTCCGTTTGTCAAAATTGGAGACTATTTTACTTCTACTTATTGAACTTTACGATAAGCTACAGATCTGTTTCCCCGTCTAGTGTACCCTACATAGACGAGTGTTTAACGCTGAAGTTAGAATAGTGATGTGCAATTTTTGCTACGGCATAGGACAGGTCGACTGTCGATTCCGACTAGGACCATCGCGTGCTGCACAATAGGGTGAATGCAGGGGCAGTGACTTGCACGGGAAGTAGTTTATGGCAATAGCGGACTTGCGCAGCATCCAACGCACCACCTCCTCCTCCTCGTCCTCCTGGGCTCAGTGTCATGACCAAGTCATGAAGACAGGAGACGAGAGAGGTCTCAGGTGGCTGGCACAGCCGAAACCGTACTTGGGCGTGTCCCCATGACCCCCCGCCCCACCCCCCTCACATTTGCGGCATTTGCTATGAGTGCGCATCCCAATGTCGCCTACCATGCACTGAGCTGGCTTCCGTATCGGTTCAGCGCAACTACCAACCGGTCCCTTTAGGTGGCAGTAGACTGCACCCACAGTAACCATCTAGAACGCTCCATTAAGGGGATAGAGTTTAATAAAGGAGCACAGTTCAGGTGCTACTCGAATGCGTGTTTCAGGGCAATTACCTCCTTAACTTCCGATTTGATCACTACAGGTAGTGCTACCTTCAATATCTTCGTCTGATACAAATAGGTAATATAAACAACATACTTATTAAAACCACTACCTGTATTACTGCTACTACGGTTTTGCTCATTCATACGAGCACTCAGGTCCTCAGTGAAATGAAATTGGGTTTGGACAATTTAATTCGTCCACAGCAAAGGATAGCAAAAGGGGCAAAAAGGGCTCTGTCGGATTTGTTTCTTGTCTTTGGTTGTTTAAGCTTCTGTAGCATCTGCCAGACCTACAACCTAGTGCCCCAGAACTCCCGCGGTGAGCCAAGAGTACGGAGGGTTTGCATGTTATAGCTGTCTTTATGTTGGTGAGCATGGTATAGTAGG